TATATCTCGGAGAAATTAATGAAAGATAATTTTTTGTTACATGTTCAGTAATAATTGTCAAATTATTTAAATATATTTTTGTTAGAATGGAAGCTAAATAAGGTGGTCTTGATCAGCTACGTGAGGCTATCGCTCTTTTCATTCCAATAAAACCTGTCTTAAACACAAAAGCCGGAAAAATATCGCAGACGATCATTACTAACTAAAAAGGTGAATGTTACCCCTCGACTAATGCAAACGATAAAATGTTCTTTCCGTCATTTTTTTTTTCGCAAACAATAAAAAAAGAATAAAATAAACTGTAATTGGCAACGGTAAAAGATGGAAAAAATAGATGGAGAATCTAAAATATCCCCCTCCCCCTATTGTACTTTTTTTTCTTTCCATTTTAACCGCAACTGTACTCCGCTTTTATTTGTTCATCTGCGTAATATCGTAGTAATTCTTTGACATAATGACGTCCATTCCATACAGGGCAGTTAGTCACTTGTTCATTTTTTTTCTTTTTGAGCATTTTGACGGGGGAAAGTGGATAAGGGACTAGATGAATATACAAAAATTGGCCTCAGGGTATTCGTCCGGCCTTTACGGATCACCGCTTGTCATGTTAGAGAGCGGAAGAAATTATTTCTGACGGTCAGCTTTTAGTTTAGACACAACTTTGATTTCTGTGGAGAGTGCATTAGGGATGCCTAATGAAAGTGCCAAATCGGGACAATAGTGCCAAACAAGGCGATAGATGGAAAGAGAGATTTGGCGAGCAAAATTTTGTTTTTTTGACCTTGAACTTCGAGAGGTGGTCACGAGTGTGAAATTAATTGGATATCACTTTTTTCTGATCATTAAAATGCATATTATTTGTTTTTCGATTTCGCTGCGTCGTATATTTGTATTTCGGGGAACTGTGTAATTTGAAAGATGAATCGAATTTTCCTCGAAAATATTATCCAAAAATGAAACATTTCGCTGAGTGTCTTGTTCATTTTTAGCATTTTCGTTCCAATTAAACTTGCTAGGGGAAAAAATCCATTTCTAAAGAAATGGAACCAAAGTAAGAATGATTTAAACGTTTATTCTGATAAAACTAAAAAGATAATAAAATCATTTTATTTATTTTATTTTATTTTAAAATCAATCATTTAAAATCAATATATTTATTTTATTTTATTTTATTTTATTCTATTTTATTTATTTATTTATTATTTGTTTTCATAAAAAAGTAATTGAAACAAGCAATTGCAATTTGAACAAAGCTAAAATTATTTTGAATGAATGTTTTTTGAGTCCAATGATGATTTCTCATTGTCCATTATATATATTTTTTTAATTTCATTATTTACTCAACAAAATAAACATCTGTAGGGAAAAATAAGCTTTAGTAGCAAAAAACAGATTGATTATTTGGTATAAAATACCTACTGATGTCCGAAAAATGATTAAAAATGCAGTTTTGTTGACTTGATGATAACAATTAGTATACCTTTAAACAAAAAAGACAATGAAAATTATTAGATGTTAAACTTTTTTATATTTATTTATTTATTTATTTTTTTTGTTACACTAACCTAGTCACCTCAGCTTTAAGCACTCCCTTTTTTTATTTATTTATTTTATTTCATTGTTTATCTTAATAAGAATAGATACTTTGATCAAATTTAAAACATATTTTTTTAATATAGACTAATATAGGCGTGCTATTGTTAGGGGTGGTCTAGCTTTTTTGGTTTTTGCCCCCAAAAACTTACAACTAACTAACATCTTATTTGGTCAAAACCCTACATTAAACTACAGAATACTATGTTTCCATAAGTTAATTATGATCAAACTATTATAAATTATATAAAATGTATCATTTGTAAGAGGAATACCCATGTATTGCAAGTTGTAGGGTTAATAAACTTTAATGTATGCTTTTAATACAGTTTTACGAACGACTCCCACATTGTTATATCCTTTTTTACCAACAAAGTAACAGAAAGAGTCACCTAAATTTTTTCACACAATAACAGAAATCAAAATAAATATAATATTAATATTTTATTCACAGCAAATTAGCATATATTTCGTTTCAATACTTTTTAAATTCTCTTTGTCAGTTAAAAATAGTAATTCCGCCTACATTGGCATCCTGTTCTAGCGCTATAAACATCGCACAGTACTCTTTATTCGTACGAAACTCGCTAATCGAATTTTTTTTTTTTTTTTTTTTTAAATCCTCATTTTGCATTCTTTTTTTGCGAAACAAATCCAGCCCCAAAATAAAGAGTTTCTTTACTTAGCACATCAATTCCACCCTTTTAGTGCTGATGATCTTCATTATGGTAATCTTAACTCCATCCACGCCCGTTCTCCAACTGTGTCACTAGACGGACAGTTACAATCAAAGTGTGGGCGGGAGCATCATCGTCCTCCAATCTAGTCAAGAATTTTAAGCCCGACACCCAAAATCCTTGCATTGTTACTTTGTCATCAGGTGCAACGTTGGGTAACATCTCTCGTTTTTGGGTGGTTACAGATTAACGCAGTTTTGAAATGTCTTCGGAAAAAAAATTCAAGTTCTTGGTAATGAATGGGGTTATCTACACCAAGTAATTTCCTCTTTTTTTTTGTAAATTCTGTGGGTGTTGTGAGAAGGTCCAATCAATTGTTTGTTTGCTCTGTTTGTTTAGTAATTTTACAAGCGTCTTTTATTTATATGTAAGTTTGAGTAGGAAGAAATTGTTTTATTTATTTATTTACATTTCTTCAAAGATATGTTTTTTTTTATTATCGTTATTTTAACTGCAAATATTTATCCCTTAAAATTGAATGGATTCTTTGAACACGTAATCTGAATTATACTTGAAAATAGTGTTTATTTTTCGATGATAAAATGAAATAAAAAGTTTAAGAGCTCCGTTTTTCAAATGGATGAAAAATGAGAAAATATGATTCTATTTTTTTTTCACATCTAAACGAATATTAAATATATTTATCCCTTTAAATTGAATGGATTCTTTGAACACGTAATCTGAATTATATTTGAAGGTAGTGTTTATTTCTCAATGATAAAATATAATAAAAGTTTTATGAACTAGGTTTTTCAAATGGATTAAAAATGAGAAAAAATTATTCTATTTTTTTCCGCATCTAAACGAATATTACATATATTTATCCCTTTAAACTGGATGGATTCTTTGGACACATGATTAAAATTATGTTAGAAGATAGTGCTTATTTTTCAATGATAAAATAAAATAAAAATTTTAAGAACTCCGTTTTTTAAATGGATTAAAAGTACGAAAAATTATTCCGTTTTATTTTCGCATCTAAATGCTCTTAGCTTTCGAAAAATATATGAATCATTTTCGATATTGATTTAAAGCGCAAATCTCATGGAAATTAACTCTTTGTCAAACTGACTCAAAATTGATTATGTTATAATTCAAGATATTCTGATCATAAGTCTCTTGTCACTAAGTCAAAAAATTGATAGTTTCCGAGAAGCAAACCATAAATAGTAATTCTCTAATTCCATCAAGACATCGGAACCAAGAAGATTGAAAAGAGAATAGTTAATAATGAACTTTTAAATAAATATTGAAAGTTAGATAAAGTAATAAAAAAGCTAATAGCACCTGAGAAAGTTCACCACTAAATGAGTAGTTAGAATTATTTATTCGTATTCACCTAAGCCAATGCTTCAAGCGCACGCATTGACCGTTACCTATATCTCTTAGTTTTGAGGCTTTATGCCTCGGAAACTATCCATCTTTGGACTTGGGGTCAATCAGATTGAACTAAAACATATTAAATTTTAAGTCTATTTGACTGAGAATTAAATATTATTGCGTGATGCATTAATTATTTTTTTTATCATAAAAATAGTATTCTTTCTCCATTTTTTGTCAGTTTGAAAAACAAAGTTTTAATTTTTTTTAGATTTTATTTTAAGTTTTTTTTATTACTCTTTTAGTTTTCTGACTATTAGTTTGTGTTGTAAAATGGCTGAAATTTTGATTGGCGAAAACAGAAGGATACATATTTACTTTCAATGCTTAGGAAATAATTGTTACTTGTATTGCATCTATACCCAGAGTTCTAGTTGAAATATGAGCATTCTAATTAATCAGAAAACAGTGGAAACTTCGGTGGATGATAATTCTGGAGAAGTATTCTACTTGTTGCCTTCAAGAAACGTTTTAAACTCGTATAGTCATCCAGCACAGAGCTCTAATCAAAATTTATCATGCTGTAGCTAGTTGCAAAGTGGACGCAATTTTGATTGAAAATAAATTTCCATAGACAATTATATCGCGATAAATTATGCTTGTTGTGAATTGTAAAGAATTGAAACATAGAAATTTCTTGGTCGAAATTTCTATCTCAAGATTCGAAATTTCTTTTTAATTGAAATTTCTCGGTAGAAATTTCAATCTTAAGATTCTAATCTATTATCTTATACACGAGAGTTTAAAAAAATATATAATGAAAATTGAAACAAAATGTAGCATTTTAATGGTTATTACTATAATTGAGTTTCTTCAGATAAACGATTTTTTTTTCGACGATTCTTTTGAATTTCTTAAGTTGCAGATAAAACCATAACTCTGGAACTTTGAATATTATTGTTAATCTGAAACAATATTAAAAAAAAGTTTTAACAACGTGAATAATCAATTTGAAATTAAATGTGGACTATATGGACTATGGACTATATTACTGTAATGAAAATTACAGAAAAATAACTTTTAGAAACTCTCATTTTAGGTCTTAATTTCTCATTTGAAACAAAAGCAGCAAATCGTTTTTTTTAATTTTACTTCACTAGTTTCATATATTCTCTAAATATTCATATTATTCCTCAGTAAATCTGAAAACTCTAAGTAATTTAAGTGACTATATTTATATGAAAATTCGAATGATTATGTTGGTGGGACAAATATTATATTTTAATCATAAGTTTTTTTAAAAAATATAACTTCTTCCATTTTAAACTAAATGTTTATTATTTCTTACAGCAACTATTTTTTCAAAACTACTATGGACTAAGTATGAAGAATACCAAAATTTATACGAAAATATCGCACTTCCGTAAGTATAATTAAAGTATAATGTAATTAAATAAATGTATAATGTAAGTAAGTATAATGTAATTAAATGAAAGCATACCTGCCAACTTTTACGCATTTGGCGTAAAATGTTATTTTTGTGTTTAAAGTGGTAGTAAATATATACTATTGTTTGTTTTATAAACTTAAATTTAAAATGATTTCGATCACCAGTATTCTTAAAAAAATTTAGCATGTATATTAATATGCATTACAATCATGGTCGTCAACTAAAGATTATTCAAATACAACATATTTTCTTGCTTACAATTGAAAATTTAATTCCATTTTGCTACCACTGGGAAAAACTATGCATATTGGGGGTTATAAATTAATAATTCACCGATTTAAACTTGTAGGTATTTCTATTACTCGTAATTATCTTTTAAATACCTCCGGCAATCGAACAGGTTTTGATATTTTGTTTACTCGCCTTCCCCTACAGTGATTAGTCATCTCGTCATATTTCGATATCGTTTTTGCTTTTTCCTCGCTGAGCATTTTTTAATAGAAATTGTATTCATTTTTTATTTTCATGCTTAACGAGGGTGCTATAAATATGTGTTAAGGATGGTCAGGAGCATCCTCTATACAATATATACTTTTTTATATAAATACTTTCTATGTAAGAAAATGTAAAAAAATATAAGAGAAGGTTGATTAAACGAGGCATTGTGAATTACAAAATAATTTAGTGTATTAAATAGCAAAAGTAAAATAAATAAATAAATAAGTAAAGTAAATAATAAAATAAATAATAAATTCTCTTGAACAGTTTAAATTTCCCTTTCTCCAGAACTATTCAACAGATTTCGTTGAAATTTTGAACTCGTTCAAATTTTCTCATTTAAAATTACATAGCTTAAAATGATATGAAATATTGCACATCTTATAATTGAATTTTCATAGATTATTATAAAATTTATTTACTAAAATAAAAAAAAATATTCCTAAAAAAGTTATTTTACGTGAAATTATCTTAATAAGTTTAAAAATCGTGTGGGATAAATTATCAATTTTCTTCTAATGTTATCGAGGGTATACCAAATATAATAAAAAAAAAATTTTTTTTCCAATGCCCACCTGGATAATTACCTAGGTCATACAGGCACCTGAAGGGCAGATTTGTTGTCCACTCTTTCAGGAGCACCATATTAGGTGGGCCAACGTTGCTCCCACAATAAGGACAGATAGTACAGAGAAGGAAAGAGCATCTATGCCTTGCCCGGGATTCGAACCCAGAACTTTTCTGATCCAAGGGCAGTTCCCTAACTTCTGCGCAGGCCGGTCGGCTATATAATAAAATATAACAAATGCGAAATATACCAAAAGTGAAATTAATATTAACCAGCCTAAACTTTGGTTCGCTCGTCTGGCTAAATTAATGAGACCAAATTTTCGACATTACGGCTACCCTTTTCTTCATGTTTTAATGATCAAGAGTACTTATCTGTTGGAAAAATGGTACGTTTATTCAGAGAGGAGAAACTTTAATTCTTCTATAAAAGAAAAATCTTTCATCGTCAGAACAGATTCTTCACAAATTGCTTTATCATAAAACGGACCCTTCATAAAATATTTTATCTTAAATTCCACCATTTCGCAATATTTTTAATTTTAAAAACGGACACTTCGCATTATTTTTTACTTTAAAATGTGTACTTCGCAATATTTATCATTTTAAAAATGGATTCTTCGCAATATTTTTCATTTTACGAACGGACTTTTCAGAATATTTTTCACTCTAAATCTTTAATTTTCTTTTTCATCTTTAATTCGTAATTTTAAACTTACACTCCATGAAAACAACGGTTTTTGTATTTTTTTTCCGCTCACAAAAACACAACCTTATTTTTAGAAATTCCCGAAAACCTTGAACATAGAACCTGACCCCGAATTATGAGCAGAGTTTACCTAAATTCGAAAAAAGAAAAAATATCGTTCAAATAAAATCTGAACAGGTTACCGGTTTTCATGAATCTTCCCAAAATCATAAAAATGAACCTTTTACAAAAAATCTGTAGTAAACCCTGATATTGCATGATATTCTTATGAAAATGAGTTTTTTTTAAAGCTTAAATAAATTACATTTTTAATGACTCTATTTTTTCAGACTTCTAAAAGAGAAAGAAACAAGTGATGAAGATTTTGTAGCTTTATGCCAATTACGCCGAGGTGCAGCCAAATATTCTTTAGCAGGACTACTACATTTACCGGTAAGGGAAGCATTTTTAAATTACTCTTTTAAATTGGCTATTACGAAGACTGGATTAAATTACTATTTCTGAAAACAAATCTTTTCTACGTAATTTTATTGAATCATACAAACTGTTTAAAAGAAAAGTGCGAAACTTCAGGTTTAGTAAAAATGATATAATCAGCTTTTTATCTAGAGCTCAGTTTTTTTTTCCCTTAAGGTCATTGATAGTACGGATTTTAATGAAAATATAACCTGTTTTTATTTGGATTAAGTGGGATACACGCATGCGTGGATAGAACGTTTATAGTCCTAAAGTTTTGTCCAAAGGACTTAAATTTTTTTTCTAAATTTTAAAGCAATACTTAAAAGCATTAAAATTATTTAAGGAAAGTGAAATCGTATACAGCTAATCTTAAACATTTATAGGTTTAATTACTGAAGGTTTTATTTACTAGAGCGAAATATGTGTTTTTACAAATTTTTTCGGCTATTACTCAATTTTAAAAAAAATGGCGATTAAGTTTGTTGAGCAGGAGCGATAGAACGATGGCATCATACTTTAAAAACAACAATCACGCGTGTTACTTCTAGAGATTGGACAATGTTCGTGCTATCAGCTTTATTGAGTTTACGAATAAGGTCGAATTAAAATGTTCAACTGCTAAAATGGTTTATGCTGAAAATATACGATTATCAGGTCAATTTTTCACAGAAAAAAAACCCAGATATTACTGAAAAGACTTGGTAATTAAACTGAAGCAACATATACTGTTACAAAAACCAATATCAACATTAAACCATTCCTGTAAGACTACGTTTGTCTTTCAAGATTAGAAGGCGAGCTCTCACGTATTTCTTCTTAACAGCTCCGTGTACTAGTTCACACAATGTTGTTCAATACAATGACAAAGCATTCGACATTTTGGTGTAAGATAAACAAGTTAAGGTCAGCATTGATAGAGTCAATCCAGCCTATATCTTAAAGGACGATTCAAGAAATTCTTCCACGAAAGTTCAAACTGACATTTCATTAGACATTGGGCCGCCTAAGTATGAGACATGACAAAGTGAAAAGAGATTTGATTCGTCACCTGATCCTGTAGTTCCAGTAAGAACTAAATCTGAAAGACATATGCAGATTCCAGCTAAATACAAACATTATTATACATTGTTAATTTTTTTTCCCAGGAAGGGGAATGATGCGGTGATACTTATTTTGAGGTGCTTATTTTTAAGGTTAACATAAGCATAATATGAAGTTAATTTCACTAGCAATTAATGATAATAATTAAGCCGTTCGAAGTAGGCTTAGCTTTAAATGTCTGTGCCTCTTCAATATTATCATATTAACATCTTTGTAAATAAAATGTATATTTTTCATTTATTCAAGAATCTCGTTTTTAATTTTCGCGACACTTCATCTGCGCGTACTTTAAAATATTACTGTGTATAAATATTAAAATTGCACGCTAGTGAAATTAAAAAGAACAATCGATTCCAAGAAGTTCCATAATTATCGTCAGCTTTTTTTAAAATTTGATTTAATGCTGACTTTTCTATTAATGCTTATGTTAACCAGCTTTTTTATGACTCTTACAACTCTTTATATGTGATTATGGGGTTAAAATTGCTCTAGTCCCTGTTGTTGATTAAGTCGAGCAGTGTGCGAACGTAAGAAACCTACAGCAACACCCATTTTTCTAATGAGTAACTATCATTTTTCTAGTTATAATGACTTACATAACATAAACCCTGAGGAAAGTGCCATCTATGAGAAATATTCTCAACAATAGAGACGTGGAACACATTTAGGAACGCAATCCACCCAAATAATTCTCACATAAAATAGATCTTAGCTATATTGTGTGCGTTCTTTCTTTTTTATCTACCAAAAATAATATTTCGAACAGCGTACATTTATTTTTAAACCCATTGTTTAAAAACAATTTTTGTCACTGAAATGTTGAAAGTATAAACGGAGTTAGAATTTTTTAAGACTGATATTATCTTTGAATTCTTCCTACAAAACAATTAAAACGTTATTTAATATTATTCACAACAAACATTAGATTATGTAAAACAATAATGTATTCGCAGTCGTTATCTTATGCTTATTTCATATATCTTTATTTGTAAAGCGTGATCTCCCGTCGCTATTCGTAGATACCATAAAAATGTCAGTACCACCACGCTAATTTTTTTAAAAACAAATTTGAACGTGTTTCTCATGTTGGCCATCGGCTAATCAAATAAAATATACTGTTGTTCATCACGTTTGTCTTCAAGTCATAACCCTTAAATATATACAAATGAAGTTCCAGTATCACTAACTGTAGTACATTGATCTAATTTTCTAGTATTACAATTACCTTACAAATTGCTCTCACCGATTATTGTTTTGATTATTTTGTGTTTGGTAATTGAATAACATTTCATAAAAAATGATTGGTTGACCTAAAGATAGGTAATGGGTTTTTGAAAAGAAAAAAATGTTTTGTTTTAAATTGCTCAGAAATTAGCTTTTTATTTATCTTATGTTTCTAATGAAGCTAGAATATGCTATTTTGACAAATTTCATTAGTTTTAACTGACTTTAATGAATTCTTTTTTTAATCCTTAAGTTAATATAATAATGTTTCTTAATCCTTAAATAAAACAGATAAATGCATTTATGAGCATTTATTCTGCACTTTTAATAGATTTATGAAATATAATGTTATAAATACTGTTTACCCAAAATCTCAACAACAAAAAATTACAGCGAATTTACAGAATTTGTATAAAGCTGTTCCTTGAAAGCTTGTTCTCCTCGTTTCATATTAGGGGAACCGGAAAGTAATGTCGTTTCGGTGCATTTGATATTTGTTATCAAGATTTTAGCAACAACCTCGTTAGCAACAACCTTTCAATGCCGGATCGAAAATAAATCGAAATGGATCGGGGAAAAATGAATTGGTTCTTAAGATTAATGACGATTTAATGCGGCGAACCGACATTACTTTCCGGACACCCTAATATTTTAGCAAAAAATATGCGCTATTTTTCATACTCTTTGATGAAACAATTTATTTAGAGAGTTTTAGAATTTTATAAAATGAATGAATTTTTACAGTTTTAATTTATACAAGTTACAAGTTAAGTTACAGTTTTAATTTTAATTTTATCCTAAAATTCTTGAAGTTAAATTACCGTCAAATAATAAAAGACAGAAACAAGGTGGTGGAACTTCCTTACATGAGCATAGTGTTAGCTTTTACAGCGATTGTATTCTTTTATATTGTATTCTTTTTGTATTCTTTTTCCACTGGCATACACAGACGATAAACAAAAACATTAATAACAAGAAAAAGTCGTTTGGTTGCCTAGCAACCAGTCAGGATTGCAGTTATTATATTTACAAGAGTTGGCAGACGATTTAAAACAATTATTTAAAATTCTCCAATTAATTAATTAATTAATTCTCCATTGATGTCGGAACACATAGGATGTGGTTTGTAGTATGCTTAGTTTTGTTTAGTTGGGGGGAGGGGAGACCATAATTGCCAAAAACATGTTTATGTAATATTTAAACGACCCCTTAACAGTTCATTGAATGAGATACTTCTTAGAAAATATTCCTTTCATTCAAAATGCAATTGGAAATTATTAAATGTTTTTCAACCGTAACAAGCGTAACTATTTCTCGAATTTTAATAAATAGTTTTCGAATCAAAAACGAAATTTTGATAAATATTTTAAGGAATAGATTTGACGAATTTTAATAAATAGTTATTCTTGAAAGGTTTAAACTATCCTAAAATGGAAGAAATAATAATGTCTTTTTAAACCCGAGATAACAATGATATCAGCACACAAACCTAGAATTCAATGCCCCATTTTTTTTCTTCATCCAATTACGATGTTAATAATGGGCAAATAATTGAAACTTAAAAATTTAAGTGGGAAAACTAGCCTTCTTGATTCTAAGATCAAAACAGGTTAAACTGTAGCGACTGATCGATTCGGCCGATAATGCCTTGACCCGGGCACTATAGAATTTTGAAATCAGCTATCTTTTGAAGCTTTCTAACCTTTTTGAAGGAAGCAACCACAGTAATCTTTGACATTGTGCTCTAGTTCTTGAACGATATGGTGTCGATATTTCACAGAAGTGCCATCCACAATTCAGTCGCAGCATGTGTAGCCATTACATTAATCTTTTCCGAGAGATTGGTGCAATTTACTCGTAGAACTCATGATATGTTTGGTAGCTCTTTAGATAAAGTATCAGGTGCTGAAAGTCAAGGTTCAGTAATGAGTTTTAAATTTTTGAATAAAGTAATTAGTTAAAATAGCAAAAAATAAAAAGTTTTTCCATCCATATGAAAGTTTTACAATTAATTAAAAAAATAACTGAAAAAAATTGTTATCTTCCGTGAAATAATTAGGTTAATTGGTACTTAATACGTTTACGTAAGTTCCAGCGGCCTTTAACGACCCCCTCTCTTTTTTTAGAGATTTTCCTTTTGGCTATAGTTAGTTACTATATAGCGGCCTTTAACGACTCGCTTTCTTTTTTAGAGATTTTCTTTTTGGCTATAGTTAGTAACTATCCAGCGGCCTTTAACGACTCGCTCTCTTTTTTTGGAGATTTTCCTTTTGACTGTAGTTAGTAACTATCCAGCTGCCTTTAACGACTCGCTCTCTTTTTCTGGAGATTTTCCTTTTGGCTGTAGTTAGTTACTATCCAGCGGCCTTTAACGACTCGCTTTTTTTTGTTGAAGATTTTCCTTTTGACTGTAGTTAGTAACTATCCAGCGGCCTTTAACGACTTGCTCTCTTTATCTGGAGATTTTCCTTTTGGCTGTAGTTAGTTACTATCCAGCGGCCTTTAACGACTCGCTCTCTTTTTTTGGAGATTTTCCCCTTGGCTGTAGCTAGTCCCAATAATAACGCAACTTTTATTTATTTTCAAATTTTTTACCTGAACTAAAAAAAAGTCAATTAAGAGCAAAGGATATTTAAGAAAATGTTGAA